CACCATCAGGTTCTCGTCCGCCCATTTGCTGAGCCTGTCCAGGTCAGCCTGGATCGCCCTCCTGTCTTCAGGTGTGGATGCTTTGCCCCAAAGTTTGGTGTCATCAGCGAACTTGGCCAGTCCGCTCCTGACTCCAATGTCCACATCATTGATGAAGATGTTGAACAATATGGATCCAAGGACAGAGCCTTGGGGGACCCCACTGGTCACGGGGCACCATGATGAGTGACTGCCATCAATTACAACCCTCTAGGTCCGACCACGAAGCCAGTCTCCCAGCCAGCGGATCGTGGTGGACCCAAGGCCACAACTGGCCAGTTTGGGCAAAATGCGGCCCCGGGGGCCGGATGCGGCCTGCCAGGCCATTCTATCTGGCCCACGGGGCCCCTAAAAAATGTAGAAAATTAATATTAATCTGCCCTGAGCTTCCTGTCATGCAACCCTCAATGGCTTGCCGAAACTCAGTAAGTGGCCCTCCGCCCAAAATAAGTGCCTGCCCCTAATGTAGATCATAGAAATCACAGCAAATTGGGGCTGGCAGGGAGCTCAGGGGGTCACATCTAGTCCAACCCCCTGCTCCAAGCAGGACCAGCCCCACCAACACCATCCCAGATAAGGACTTGTCTACCTGGGTCTTAAACACCTCCCAGGATGGAGACTCCCGCACTTCTCCAGGCAACCTGTTCCAGAGCTTCACTGCCCTCCTCATCAGAAAGTTTTCCATAGATTCATAGACTGCAAGGGGCTGGACGGGACCTCGGAAGATCATCAGGTCCAGCCGCCTGCCCAAGCAGGAAAGACAACTGGGGTCAGGAGAGTTTGTGACCATTACTCCTGGTTTTCCCCTCAGGTGCCCTGGTGAACAGTTGCTCACTGAGCCCTTGATGTGCTCCCCTAGTGCAGCGGTGAGCTGCTACCAGGTCCCCTCTCGGCCTTCTCTTCCTCAGGCTGAAGAGTCCCAGGTCCCTCAGCCTTTCCTCGTATGGCTTGCCATGTAAGACTGATCATATGGGTGGCTCTTCTTTGGACTCTCTCAAGCTTGCCCGCATCCTTGTTAAAGTGCGGTGCCCAGAACTGGACGCAGTCCTCCACCTGCGGTCTCACCAGTGCAGAGTAGAGATAACATGGAAAGGCTTGGGGATCTTTCAAAAACCCAGCAGCCCCTGCTGAGGATGGCTGAGGACAAGGCCAAGGAGATCTGGGCTCAGCACTGCCAATCTGCTCTGCATGGCTTTGAACAAATTGGTGAACCTCTAAGCCTCAGTTTGCCTGGCTGTGAAATGGGTACAGGAGGGGAAGCTGCTCCCCAGGGCAGGGGCATAATGCCATAACAGGGTAGATGCCACCTCTTTCTCTCCCACATCTTGGTGGGGCATGGAAGCAGATCCAGGGGCCTGGAAGATTGAGTCTCCCCCCAATTGGCCTCACCTGGACCTGGAGCTGGGGCTGGCTTAACATGGCAGCCCAAAGCCCACAGGGCTCTAGTGTTGTGGGGGATTGGTGAGGCCAATATACTATATTTTCTAGCATACAACACACATTTCCCCCCCCAAATTAAGCAGCTGGAAATTGGGGTGTGCCTTATGAGGGTGCAGAACCCATTCCCCACCCCATAGCCCTATGCCCCCTGCAGCCACATACCCAGAGCAGTTCAAGGCCCTGGATCTGGCATAGCGGGTGTCTATGCTCCCATGCCCCAGGCTGGGGTGGATGCGGGGTTGGGGGCAGGCAGTGGAGATGCCCGGGAAGCTGGTGGGGGTCTGCATCGCACAAGGGGGGCCGTTGTGTCCACAGCCCAAACACTGTCCCCTCTGCTGCCCAGATGTCGGCAGGCGCCTTCTGCTACCTGGTGTTCTGCGGCGTCTGCCTGCTGGTGGCCCTCTACGTCCACGCCGTCATCCCTGAGACAAAGAACAAGACCTTCGTGGAGATCAGCCACATCTTTGCCTCGCGCTGCGCCTTCCTGGCCCGCACCCCTGACCTCGTCCGCATGAGCAAGCTCCATGGCTACGGAGCCCTTGAAAGCAGCTCCCTCGAGGACTCGGGATCCAGCCAGGCCTGACTTCCCTGTCAGCTACCCCAGCCAGGTGCTGCTGCTCCCACCGCTGCCTGCACCCCCAGGCCTCTTGGGGGTGGGAGGGCTGGGAAGCCCCAGGGCTCAGACCCTGTCCCACAGTCCTCCCCGGGGCACCTCCTGCCCCCACCAGCCGCCATCTCCTTCTCCCTCTCCAGCCCCGGGCCCTGGGGAATGGGGTCGGCTCCCTCCAGCTGCCCCAAGTCCACTGCACCTGGTGGATCTGGGGACTCCCAGCAAGGGCCTGGGATTGTGGGGAGGTGACTCGCTTTTCTCCAAATTAACACCCCCAAGTGTTGGTGCTACACAGTCCTCCAGGGGTTTGTACGGATGGCCCCAGGCCCCAGCTCACAGCAGCTCCAACCCACCAGCCCCCTGCCCCTTCCATAGTGCAACTGCAGCAAGCCCCACCTCCAGAAGCAGTGACATCACTCCTGATGGCAGGTGCTGGTTGGCTAGTGCTGCTGTCAGGCCCACCTGAAAAGGGGCAGGACTTCCTGGGGTGCCAGGTGGGGGGCGGGGCTCGGGCAGGATGGGGCATGGTGGGTACATCTGCACCAGGGCACATAATAAAGGATGTGGCTGGAGGAGTCTGTGCCCGTGTGTGGGTTCAGAAGTGGGCAGGGGTGGGGGTGGCTCTGCTGTGGTTTGGGGCTTAGGCACAGCACCCCCAGGGCATCGGCATCACCCTGAGAGCTGAGCCATTAGACACTGGGGCCTTTCAGGGTGCCAGGATGCGGGGCTCCTGG